TTTGATATCCTGAAGGAAGATTCGGCCACCTCGTTGATTCTGCAGCTTCATCAGTTTCTCAGCATGTTCCCTCTCCTCATGAGACTGGTGAAGAAAGTATTTGGCAAAATTCTTCAAAGCCACATCATCGCGGTCAAAGTAGTAAGACTGAAAGGGAAACATGAACGTGTTATGTTCGAGACTGGCGGCAGATATATTCCCAGACTGAAGCCAATAGTAACGGTTCTGTTCTGAAATAGAAAACTGAAACTTGATCCTTGAAAGTTTACTTCAAAGAACCTTTAGAATATCACAGGAATTCACAATGTCTTTCAGGATCTGTATTACTGTAAAGGAAATTTCCTATACCCAGTGCCAAATTTGGAGAGTGTGTATTGGAATTTTTGCCCGGCAGTATCAGTTCCTCCTGCCTCCCTCCCAGATTTAACCATGTTATAAAGCATGGTTAAAACAAAGCCCTCATGAGCTTGTTAGCTGTACTGCACATTGCTGGGTTTATTTATAAAACTTACACGCCATGCAAAATGAAGACTGTGGGCAAATAAGTTGATGTAAACCTATCAGCAGAAAGCAAAAATCTGACTTTCAATCTTGAATATTTACTGAATTTTAGTGTTCCCAAAGGCAACAAGAGTTATAGAACTCAAGGCCTGTTTTCAAATTCATTTAGAACAGGTCTATCTTGGATAATTTGCACAATCACAAATCCAATTCTAAGGAAAACCCCCCCCTACCCAACCACCTAAAACCAGGATTTCAGAACTCCTGAGCTCGGAAGCCTCGCCCTCCCAGAGTGCTAGGATTACAGGCATGAGCCACCATGACCGGCCTTAAAACAAAGATTTCAGAAAACCGATTCCATAAATTACTGCGTGGAAAAACTCCTTGTGCAGTAATTTGTCCAAGAACTAAGGGTTTGAATAGTGAGTGGGTCATGGCTCTTACGAGTTAAGGGGTGTAAAAAGGATAAAGAATTAAGTTCCGAGGCACAAAGTCGTATGGCGCTTCTGCAACTGCAGAAGGGGAGATTTTTAGAAATATGCTTTAATACAAGTGGGGCTTACAGATAAACAGAACCGAGACGCAGCTCCGTCAGCCCACGAGATAAGCCATTTGACGCCAGCCCCCAAGGTTGCTATCCGACACCATTATCTAGCAGGGCCGCCATACGTAGGGGGATGGGAGCTAAATACCCAAGAACACAGAGGGCCTCAGGCCAAATGACCGGAGAAAGAGGAAGGAAGGGGCAGGAATGCAAAAATCCACCCTTCCAACCACAGGATCGATCGTACAGCTTCCAAGTCTTGCAACCCCGGGATTTCAGGAAACCGTGCTCTCCTTAAATTAGAAGGAGTGTGAAGAGGCGGCCTTTGCCTCCAGATGAGATTTCCCAGGGTACAGACGAAAAACACCAACAGCCCAAACTTTCTGCGCCAGAGAAGCCCTGGGAGACCTCGATCAGCCTCCATTTTTCAGAAGGGCGCAGGGAGGTGGGGAGCCAGCCGGTGGCCACACCCCCGCTCCGCCCGCCCGCCCGCCCGCCCGGGG